GGCACCTGTGACTCAAAGGAGTAGGGCTCTGGCCCCATATGCCAGAGGTGGTGGGTTCAAACCCAGCCCTGGCCAAAAACTGAAAAAAAAAAAAATATTAAGGCTTGGCACCTATAGCTCAGTGGGTAGGGTGCCAGCCACATACACCAGGGCTGGTGGGTTTGAACCCAGCCCGGGCCCACTAAACAACAATAACAACTACAACAAAAAAATAGCTGGGTGTTGTGGCAGGCGCCTGTAGTCCCAGCTACTCAGGGGTTTGAGGCAAGAGAATCGCTTAAACCCAAGAATTTGAGGTTGCTGTGAGCTGTGATGCCACAGCATTCTACCATGAGAGTGAGACTCTGTCATAGTCATAGTGAGACTCTGTCTCAATTTAAAAAAAAAATTAAATGACAAAATACATATAAAATTTACCCCCCCTAACCATTTTTAAGTACACAGTCCAGTCGGCAGTGCTAAGGGCATTCACAGTGCTGAGCATCCAGTCTCTGGCACTCTCTAAATCTGGTCAGACTGAAACTCTACACCTGTTAAATTTTAACCCAACATCCTTTTTCCTGGCTCTCAGCAACCCCTGGTCCACCTTCTGTCTCTCTGAGTTCGGTCATGCTAGATACCTCAGATAAGGGGAATCATATAGTGTTTATCTTGTGTGACTGGTTTATTGCACCTAGCATAACGTCCTCAAGGGTCATCCACACGGTAGCATGTGCCAGAATTTCCTTCCTTTTTAGGGCTGGATAATATTTGATTGTATGAATAGACCATGTTTTGTTTACTCATTGTCAGTGGACACCTGGGCTGCTTCCGTCTGTGTGAATAATGCTGCTAAGAATGGCAGTGTGTAAATATGTGTATCAGACCCTGATTTTAATTTGGGGGGCATATACTCAGAAACAGAATTGCTGGGTTACTTGCTAATTCTATTTTTAACTTTTTGATGAACCACCATACTGTTTTCCATAACCACGGCACCATTTTACGTCCCCACCAACACGGCAGCATGGTTCTAATTTCTCCAGATCCTCACCAACATTTGCTGTTTTCAGTGTTCACTGTGGCCACCCTGGTGAGTCTGCGGTGGCATCTCGATGTGGGTTTGATTCGCATTCCCCTGGTGATGGGTGAGCTCTGCGTGTGCTGCTTGGCCATTTGCGTATCTTCCCTGGAGAAAGGTCTGTTGGAGTCCTCTGGCAGTTTGAGTCAGGTTGTTTGTTTCATTGTTGCTGCACTGTGGTCGATCTTTGTATGTTCTGATGGCCACGCCTTTTCAGATGTGTGGTTTACAAATATTTTCTCTCATTGCACATGTTACATTTGCACTCTGTTAATAGTGTCCTTCGTCTGCTTTGTCCATTTTTCTCTTTTGTTGCTTGTGCCTTTGGTGTCATAGGCTCATTGAGCATGTATTAAGATTGGTTGTTTGAAAGCTTTTGTCCAGTTTGTCAGAGGCTTGTTTCTTTAGGGATATATTTTCCTTGTATGCCACTATGTTCTTTCAATAGAGTATTGGGCATTTGAAAATCCAACTACTTCTCTGTCTTTGCAGACTTCCTTTTTGCAGGGAAGATGGTCATGCATCAGCCCAGCATACAGGCTCAGGGTCCTCTCAAGACTCCTCCAGGCTGTGTCTTCCTTTGCATGTTCACACATTTTTGTTCCCATTCCCCAGGACAGAGGCTTCTGTTAATAGATGTCCTATTTCCCTAGAATTCTCTCCCCTGCCTCTTCTCAGGCCCTTAGATGGTTTATTGTATTCTTCTGCTCATAGTCTTTCCCATCCCATCCAGGCACCTGCTGTTCTTCAGACCGCCTGTAACTCCCTTGCAGTCGTCCCCCTCCCCCTTTCAGCTGCCCAAACTATGCCACCATTCTCATCAGTGCTCCAAGCTGGGGGCAGGAGGCAGAAACCCATTTTAGTATCCCCAAACCAGCTAGAACGTTGCAGGAAATTTCAACTTTTGTCATTTCATCCCGAGGGAAGTTAGGAATCAGGTGGCTTGGTAGGGGGGTAGGATGAGGTCAAGCAAAACCATCATGGAATTGCCTACCCTCTCTTGTTTGTTTGTTTGTTTGCTTGTTTTTTGAGTTTGTTTGTTTGCTTGTTTTTTGTCTCAGTCGGTTGCCTGGGCTAGAGTGAGATGGTGTCCTCATGGGTCACCACAGCCTCCAACTCCTGGCTCAAGTTATCCTTCTGCCATAGCTAAGACTACAGACACACTCAGCTAATTTCTTAAATTTTCTTTTTGTAGAGACTGGGTCTTGTTATGTTGCTGAGTTTGGTCTCAATTTTCCAGCCTCAAATGATCCTCCTGCCTCAACCTCCCAAAGTGCTAGGATTACAGGCGTGAGCCCCACAGCTGGCCTTCCTGCCATTCTGAATGTGGCTCTTGAGTGCTTGGTTGCTGGGCTTCTTAACTGGTTGCTAGAGTTCTAACAAAGCTCTTGGGTTGGTATAATGTTGTATGTTTGGTGTTTGTGATGGGGGGAGTGAGGCCTGGAAACTTCCCAGCCTGCTCTCTTGATGATATCACTCTGTCTTCCCCTGGATTTTGACCAAGATGTTTTAATTACACCATATCTTTTCTAGTGCTATTAGCTATCCCACCAAAGAGGCTGTTCTGAATTACCTACTCTAGCACGTTAAATTCCTCCTTCAGAGATTAATCCCAATCCCTTGGTCATCATGGATTATTTCTGTTGAAACACACTGTTGAATTTTTTTTTACTAAGGTATTAGTAACATGTACACTCAACATCAGTACATCAAATATTTATGTCAGAGTGTGCAGATGGCTTTTAATTTTCTTCTACTGGAAGAAGAAGATTTCAGGAACAATTATGGTAAAGTGTCAGAACTTGCCTATAAAACTAGCTGGGTACAGTTTTTTTTTAATTTTATTATGTACATTAATGCAGTCATGGGGTACAATGTGCTGGTTCTATGGGTACAGTTTTTTTTTAATTTTTTATTTGGAAATAAATAAAAATGATTTGAAAGAAGTCATATAGATAAAGAGATAGAGAAGAACTCTGCCATCTCTCATCCAGTTTACCCCAGTGATTACATTTTCCACAATTATTATGGCATCAAAACCTAGAAACTGACGTTGGGTACATGTCTATACACAACCCTATGACATTTGTCACGTGCGTGTACATTTACGTAACCACCACTACCATCAAGGTACACAGTTAGTCCATCCCCACGAAGAGCCCCTCTGTCCTCATACCCACCCCTCTCTCCCACTATCCGCTGATCTGTGTCCATCTTTGTAATTTGTCATTTCAAGACCATGACAGGCATATACAGCACGTGACCTGTTCAGATTGGCTTTTTCTCACTTAACATACTTTATTCCTTTTTATTGCTGAGTAGTAGTCCGTGGCATAGATTTACCACTGTTTGTTTAAATAAGCACCGATTGTAGGATATTTTGGCCGTTCACTTGTTTTTGATTATTACAAGTAATGGTGCTATGTATGATGATGGACATGTTTTTATGTGAACATAAATTTTATGGGAAATCTGCTAAGAAGCTGTCTAACCACTTCCAGAGTGGCCAGAGTGGGACTTCCCCGTTGCACCAGCACATATGGGAGCCTGGTTTCTCCACCTCCATGCCAGTATTTCTTAGCGTCTACCTCATACCTCAGCTCTTCCAGTAGCTGTGGATTCTCACCTCATTTCCCTAAGGCTAGTGGTATTGGTGAGCATTTTTTCCTGTGCTTATTTGCTATCCATATCTCCATTTATTTTGCCCATTTCCTATTTAGATGTATTTTTTACCGTTGAGTTTTGAGAGTTCTTTATATAGTTTTTATACATATATGTAGTGTGTGTGTGTATATTTTATTGTTTGGGATTCATTGAGGGTACAAAGAATTAAGTTACACTGATTGCATTTGTTAAAGTCCCTCTTATAATTGAGTCCTGCCCCAAGAGGTGTGTCATACACTATGACCCTCCATCCCCTTCCCTCCTTCCCTCTCCCCACTTGCTCATTCCCCTACCCCTCCCCTTGTATTAGCTCATCTACCGCCTTTGTATTAGAATTGAGTACATTGGATTCTTGCTTCTCCATTCTTGTGATGCTTTACTAAGAAGAGTGTGTTCCACCTGCATCCAGGTTAATACAAAAATGTAAAGTATATGTTCTTGATAGGAGTCCTCGGTCAGGTATATATGGTTTGCAAGTATTCTCTCCCGGTCTATAGCTCGTCTTTCCATCTTCTTAACAGGGTCATTCACGGACCAAAAAAATTTAATTTTGATGAAGTCTAACTTATTTATTTTTTATTTTGTGAATAACTCTTCAAGCTAAGCCTGGTTTTTTGGTTTGTTTTACAGGTGTATTGAATAGCTCCAAGATTGTTTAGCTCTCAGATCAGTTTGGACAATTTAGATTTTCCTAGGACATAACTGAATCTGTGTATTCAAAGTTAGTGTCTTTTTGACATCACTATTGGATCTGTGCTTTGAGTCTGTTTAGCTTTTGATTGAAGGCCTGCCTCAGGGGGTCTCCAGCCATCATAGGTGGCCTCCATTTAGATTCCCTACTGGCAGGTCTGTGGTTACAAATTTTTAGGAGGTGACTATACTAGCACAGCAGAGGCTAGGAGTATATGGTGGTCTTTGGGCCTCTCTTTTGTGTGTGTCTTCTCCCCTTTTTTCTCTTGATCCTATTTCATTTATTTTTCTTGATTTCTTATTGTTGTTTTTGGAGACAGTCTCATTTTGTTGCCCTGGGTGGAGTGCCATGGTGTCATAGCTCACAACAACCTCAAACTCTCAGGTTCAAGCGATTCTCTTGCCTCAGCCTCCCAGATAGCTGGGACTATAGGCGCCCACCACAACGCCCGGCTATTTTTAGAGACGAGGTCTCACTCTGGCTCAGGCTGGTCTTGAACATGTGAGCTCGGGTAATCTACCTGCCTCAGCCTCCTGGAGTGCTAGTCATGAGCCACTGCTCCGGCCCTATTTTTCTTGAGTTCTTCCTTCTGTTTTCCCTGTTTACACCAGTGATCAGCCAGCTTTTTCTGCAGATGACCAGATAAGACCAGGATGTAAATATTTTTGGCTTTTCAGGTCCTGCAATCTCTTGCAAATACTCTGCTCTGCCTCTGAGCAGGAAGGCAGCCCCACAGTATGTGAATGGATGAGTGGGGACATATTCCTTAAGGAAGTGTCCATTACTGGTAAAGACAGTTCTAGATAGGCGAATGATGAGAATTTATTTCGTCTTTAATAATCATCAAACTAGATATAAAATCTAACTGGACTCTTATTTTCTCATAAGCCTTTAAAAATTTATTCTGCTGGCTTGGTGCCTGTAGCACAGGGGTTATGGTGCCAGCCACATACAACAAGGCTGGCGGGTTCGAATCCGGCCTGGGCCAGCTAAACAACGACAACTGCAACAAAAAATAGCTGGGAATTGTGGTGGGTGCCTGTAGTCCTAGCTACTTGGGAGGCTCCCAGCTCTCTTAAGTGAGGGAATCACTTAAGCCCAAGAGTTGGAGGTTGCTGTGAGCTGTGATGCCATGGCACTCTATCAAGGGCAACATAGTGAGACTCTGTGTCAAAAAAAAAAAAAATTATTCTGCTATCTTATTGCTCTTACTCAACACGTAGACTAGTTGCCTACGTGTTCTTCCCTGAAAAAACATCCCTTTTTTGTCTTTGGTAGTTTTTAGGCCTTGTTGGGTTTTTCCTGCAATTCCATCCTAATGGGCTTAATGTGGATTTACTCATTGTATTTGGGAAACCTGGTGCTTCCTGACACTAAAGAGTCCTACCACTCAAATATCTCTATTTTTTCATTCTTTAATTTGTTAGATATATCGGGACTCTCATTTCGCCATCCTTCCTCTGTCCTATTTTCCAGTTCACTAATTTTCTCTTCTGCTATTGAATGTATTAAGTTTAAAATCTGTGAGTGGTTCTCATTTCTAAAAACATTTTCATGGCATTATCCTTATCATTTTTAATTTCTTCTTTCATGACTGTGGTCTTAGGCAGCCACTAACTGCAGCTTCTGAAGGGTCTACTCGAATTCAGGGGCTAACTTCCATGCCTGTTCAGCCGGCTTTAGCCTTGGGAATTACATGCAGCACTGATGGAAGGCCGGCTGGGGCTTTCCAGACCCTGAAGGTGGAGCACACACAAATCCCCAGTGGCAGGCCTGTGGCTACAAGTTTTCAGGAGGTGCCAGTATGGGGGACTCTGGACACTTAGCTGGGTGGGGTGGGAGTAGATCGTGACCTTTGGGCCTCGTTTTCTCTGTAAGTATTCCTTTGCACATGACTTATTTTGCTCTTAGCTCTTCCCAGGGAGAACCAATATGCAATTGTCAGAGGGAGCTAAGAGAAAGGAACTGGTTTTCCCTCCAAGGTGGAAAGCAGAAGCTCACCAAACAGGGGTCAGAGTGCCTGCTGGCCAGGGCAGCTTACCACACTCTGGAGGAGGGTCCAGGGGCACGAAGCCCCGGGCACACAGGTGAATGTAGGCAGCCACTAGGTTGCAGGCAGGTTGGAGCTCCTGGAGACCACAAGTATCCTGGATGCATAAGCTGAGGAAGGGCTGAGGGTCCACCTGAAATCAGAACCACCCACAGTTACCACCCCTGCACTCTTGGGAATGGCTCAAGGAAGGGGCATAGGCTGGAGTGGGGCAGGGGCCTACCCTTGCCCCGTGGTCCCTCTGCTTGGCTTCCCACAGGGGCCCAGCCTCACACTCACCACCTGGAAGCAGTCTCCCAGGCTGGAGTGGGGGTCCTGGAAGAAGGTCCGGCAGGTGGGGCTCTGCTCTGGGCATGCTTGCTGAGGCTTCTCAGTGGCCTTGCAGTCACCACTCACCTGGTGGGACAGACATGAAACTCAGGCCCCCAGGCTCCCCAACAGAAGACATCCCCCACTATGGCTCTAAGGAGTTCTCTGCGAGGCCAGCAGCCCACTTGCTTCTCCCAGGGCTGTGGAAAGAGCAGCACTCAAGAAACTCCACAGGAGGAACCCACGTGGGATGCTTCTCAGGTCCACAGACAGTTCCCACTGACACTTTCCTCTCCAGGGCACACCCTGCCTGCTCTCCTGAGTGCCACCCCTAACCACAGAGCCCTGGGAGGTACAGGGGGTAGAAGGGCAGGGGGCACAGCTCACCTGCCAGGCATGGCTGAGCTCCTCCAGGCTGCCGGCCATGGAGCCATCAGGCAACATGAGCTCATTGCCCTCTTCATTGTCATTGGTGCCCAGAAGGCCACGGATACACCTGTGGGGCAGGGGCCTGCTGTGAGAGCTGCTCTTCCCCCCACTGCCCCAGCCCCTGGCCAAAGGGACCCATGTGTGTGCATGAGGCACATGGAGAAACTGCAGAATCCCACCCTCCCTTTGTCCTCGCCCAATGGAGAGGACAGCGAGAGAGGTGAGAATGCCCTGGTTCTACAGCTGTGAGCCATGGGAACAGGGAATTCACTGTGGCTCCATCGGGCCACTTGGAATCATGGACAGTAGGCATGAGGACTAGCTGAGACCCTGAACTTACACATTACAATGCTAGAAACAAGGGCAGTGGCTGCTGTGCAGTCACAGGTGTTATCTCTCCTGGATCAGGCGCTGTCCCAGAGCAGGGAGAGAGGCCTTGGGGGTTCTCCCCAGTTCTGAAGCATTTAAGCTGTTCTCTTGCCTGCAAAGGTTGTGAGGTCCTCAAGAGCCCCTGGACCTCCTGCCCTCAGCCCTGGAAGCTGATTGCAGTCTATCCCAAAGAGGTTGTTCTGGGACCCAGACCCACCGTGGTGCCAGAGGCCCAGGGTCAGGCTGCAGAGGCCGGCTTGAATGTGACAGGAGAGCAAGACCCCATCCTCACTGGCCAGCTCAATCCTGGAGCTGCCACTCCTCATCTTGGCAGGAGGCAGCCTGAGGTCCGGGCAGCTGTCCCCAGGCAGGGAAGAGTTGTACAGCCTGTAGGTCTATGGGCGAGGCAGGGGCTAAACAGGATGGCTAGCCCACAGCAGGGAAGCAGGCTGGATGACTGGTCTGGTGGACACAGGTCTCAAAGGGAAGACACCCTCCCCTTCCCCAGCCCCAGCTCTCAGGCCCCACCTGCTCACCTTCAGACTGGGGTAGAGGATCAGGGTCATGCTGCCCAGCTCTGCAGACAGGACCACGAGTCCTGAGCCCACCCGCCTCAACATCAGTGAGAACGTGTTATGAGAAAAGTCTTTGGCCAGCAGGAAGGTGCCACAGTGGGCACTGAGGCCCCACACCCGACCATCAAAGGTCACCAAGTGCTGGGCCCTGGCTACCACGGCGTGGTCTGGGAAGAAGAGGCCCAAAGGCAGTGTAAGTGGGCCTCACTGGGTGGGGCCTGATGCCCGCCCGAAGCAGGGACATGGGGAGCAGCCCGGGCCCCAGGGAGCCAATCCTGGCTTCAAGAGAACTTGAACTCCAGGGGCTCCCCCCAAACAAGGGGCTACAGCCAATTCAGCAATAGAAGGGAATGACATACAGAGGCCTGCTACACCATAGGTGAATCTCAAAAACGCTGTGCTGAGTGAAGGAGCCTGCCACAAAAGGTTACACAATTCTGTTTATGTGGAAGGTCTGGCACAGACAAACCCATAGGCAGGAAGTTGGTGGGCACAGGAGGGTTGCAGGCTGCAGGGTTTCTTTCTGGGTTGATGAAAATGTCCTAACACTGATTGTGGGGATGCTGGCATACCACTATGACTAGAGCCCACCAATTGTACACTTTTATTTTTTTGAGACAGAGTCTCACTTTGTTGCCCTCTGTAGAGTGCTATCACATCATAGCTCACAGCAACCTCAAACTCTTGGGCTCAAGTGATTCTCTGGCCTCAGCCTCCCTAGGAGCTGGGACTACAGGTGTCTGCCACAAGGCCCAGCTATTTTTTGTTGTTGTAGTTGTCACTGTTTGGCACGCCTGGGGCAGGTTCAAACCCACCAGCCCCAGAGTCTGTGGCTGGTACCCCAGGTGCTGAGCTACAGGTGCCCCGCCCAAATTGTATACTCGAAATGTAGGAATTATATCTCAACAAAGGTGTTAGAGTTAAAAAGGGAAATTCTCTTTTAAAAGTGTAAGGCCAAAATCTCCATCAGATACAAGATAGATGCCCCATGGACCTGGCCCTGCCCTCTTCAGGCTGGACAAAAGATGGTCCAAGAAGGAGCTATTTTGGCCAGTCCAGCCAGCACTGCGGCTTGGGGGTGTATGGGGCAAGGATGCACCATCTGGGCACATGTGCACAGCCAGGCAACTGGGGGCCTCACAAGGGAGGTCCTAATTGCCCCATGAGCAGCTGTCAGGCCCAAGGCCACACACCCTGGGAACTTCAAAACCAGGGCTGTTCTATATTGACCTGCTACCCAGACACACAGATGCACCCCTGACTCTAGGGAGGCTCCTGGGCATGGGTCCCATTCAGGTAGACCACGCCTCCCCCATGGACCCAAGATCTCCCCTGTAGGCAGGGCTTAGTCTCAAACAGCACAGGCTCATCACCCACAGGAGCAAGCCTGGTTGCCACCCACCTCTCACAGTGAAGGAAACAGGCCCAGAGAGGTGGCTGGGATGAAAATACCCCAGGGGCTCAGAGTCCCCAGAGCATTGTCCAATCCCAGCACAGCCTTTCGCTTCAGGCCTGTGTGGTGGACTCAAGCAGTGGCCTTCTGGCTGCAACTAGAGGTCTGCCTCCTGCTGCTCCGGGAGGGCCTGGGGAAGGAGCTGGCCTGCAGCCCCTGACCACTCACCACACCACTCTACTGGGCCCCAGGCTCAGGTCTTAGGACATTCTGGACAGAAGAGCAGGATCCAAACCCTGAGCCCTAGTCCTGAGGACCTGGAAGTCCAGTAATTTCTGGGCCCTGCGCTTGCAATGCCAGGAGCCTATCTGAGCTTCTGCACCACCAGGGACTGGGCCCCTCTCCTTCTGCCCCTGAGTGATCCTGCTGCTGTGTCCCCCAGGGCAGGGAAGTCCAGGGGAAGGGGAAGAGGGAAGTGCGGGCCTGGGCAGGACTCACACTGCAGGGGACTGCCCAGCAAGTGGCGTCTGAGCCGGTAGTACTGGGCCAGCATATTGACCCCAGACAGCTCCCAGAGCGGCCGCAGCAGCCTATCCTCCACCAGGTAGCTGGTCACCTGGGCCACACCCAAGGGCTTGTCCCCCGCAGGCAGCAGCGGCAACACTACCACCACAGAGCAGTTCCTGGAGGGACATGGGGACAAGTCGCTGTGCCCGTGTGAGCCTCATTCCCTTAGCTGCAGAATGGCTATCACCAGGGCTAAGGCAGAACCACTAGAGCGTGGCAGTGATGCAGGGAGCACCAGAGCCCCTCGGAGGGAGGGAGGGACTGTCTGTGGGGAAATGCCCAGTGGCTGAGGCTGAGGGTAGAAACACTGAGGCCATAGTGTCTGAGCTCATATGTGTCCTGCCTCTGGGCCTTGGGTCAGTGTGGGGTCAGGGCTGTGTACAGGGCACGCAGAGCTAAGTGGGCAGAAATAGGAGCTCAGAGCCCAAGGGAACATGGGACTAGAAGTTCTTGGAACTCTCCACAGCTTGTGGGAGGACTCTGGAATTCTCTCAGATTGTAGAAGGGGAGGTCAGGCTGACCTCCAGGGTCTGAATGAGCAGTGAAACCTCAGCTCCCATCAGGAGTACAGTGGGCAGAGGATGCTTCCCTCCCTGTCAATGTGTGGAGGTGGCACAGGGGCCTCATCTACCTTCTAGGAAGCTCAGACCTGCAGCTTAGGGCAGGAGGCAGCTCGGGAGCCCCCCACCCCTGCTGCTAGAGTATCCTTTACAGCACCCCCACCCCGTTGTGTCCAGCTCCCACTCACCGGGTGCTACCTGCCATTTGCAAGCAGCCCCGTCTGGGAGATCATCCTGCCTGAGGCCAAGCCCCACTTGTGGCTCTTCCCTTCAGTGGCTTACATTCTGGCCACAAGGACGCAAGAGCCATGCCTGCCCCAGGGCAGGACTGGACAGCGTGCCTTTTACCTGTGAGGTGGGTATATGACCTCTTAGACAGTTTCCCCACCCTTTTACAGGTGTGGAAACTGAGGCACAGGGCGCCAATGGGGCAGAGCTGTATTCAAACCAAGATTCAGGGCTCAAGCTTTCCTGGATTCTAGATGCTCCTTGTGGCCACCAGCTGTGGGAAGAGGACCAGCACCTCCTCACTCTGCCAACTCCCAAATTGCCCTACAGCCCAGGCCTCAGCACACCCACTGCTTACACAGCAGCTTCAATCAGGGGTCCTCTTGGCTTCTCAAACACAACATGTCCGACCCCCATCAACCCCTAGGATAGGATAATCACTAGCCCTGGAACCTGTGAGCTTACATGGTCAAAGGGTCAAGTTTGGATCATCTTGCAGTGGGGGCGCTGTAATCCAAAGGGGCCCACAGGAGGAAGGCCCCAACTCACCGCCTCTCCCTCTCATATGTTCTGCTCTTCACTGGCTTCTGTATGAACCCCCTGTGCTGGCCGTGTCCTCCACTGGAACTCTTCCTATGCTACCCACATGGCCGATGGCCTCACCCAAACTCCGCCTCTGTGTGAAGCCAGCCCTGGCTGCACTGCTGCACACGCCCCTCAGCCCCCTCGTCCTGCCTTTCTTTCTGCAGCATTTGCTACTTACCATGTAGATTAGGGGTCAGTGAACTATGATCAAGGGGCCACACCCAGCCTGTGGCCTGTAAGCCAAGAATAGCATTTTCATGTTTAAAGGATAAGTACAAAATAAAAACAAGTCAATGTGCCAGAGCCCATATGCCCTGCCAAACCTAAACGTTTACTCCCAGGCCCCAGTGTGGATGACTTGCTTTGTGTCCCCCCCCACCTCACCTCCCACCCACGAGTGTCCTCAGGTCCTTGGGCAGAGATCTGTCTCGTACAGAGAGTGCCCATAAAGTACCTTTGGAGTGAAAATGAGCCTTGGTTTCCTCATCTGTAAAGTGGGGGTTGACAATACCTACATGGCACGGTTGTTGCAGGGGTAAAAGAGGTCGAGGTATGAGAGCATTCAGCACTGCACTTGGCCCATGGCAGGACCAGAGGACGTGTCAGTCCCCAGCCCCAAGTTACCTGACTGAGAAGTGGTACAGGCCCAGCAAGGGTTTGCAGAGCCTCCTTAGTCCCCGTGACAACGTGGCTTCAGCCCACGACAGCATCTGATGGGCAGCCTGAAGAGAGAGGGAGCAATCAGAGCTGGCAGAGTCCCTGGCCTCATCTGCCATCTGTGTCCCACCCCTGTCCCCAGCTCACCAGCTCCAGGACAGCCCTCATGGCTCCCAGGGCTGCCCCGATTGGCCTCCCAGGTAGCCAGAGCTGCAGCTGCCTCATGGCCTTTTGGGCCTGCTCCTGCCATACCATGTCCAGGGGCTGCAATGTCACCTCCAGGTAGGCATCCTTCAGCGTGGCTAGGGGCCCTGCAATGGGCAGCCACTGCCTTCAGGAGGCCTGCAGGCTCCTGGCCCCAGGTGAGAAATCCAGCCCCACCCAGACATCCCAGGCTGCTAGGAAATAGGGCCTGTTCCCAGGAGTAAGGTGGTGGGGAGAGAGGAAGAGGAACAGGGCAGAGGGCACTAGACGCTGCGGATGGGAGCTAACGCTGGGCCGGATTCCTGTCCTGTGGGAGGCCTCCACACAAGGGTGGCCCTTGGCAGGTAATTAGAACTTGGATTTCAGAACGATTCTTACCACTTCTGAGATTGGGAAGAGGTTTGCGCTGAACATGCCTTCATTTGGGAGCCTAGAATCCTTGGTACGTGCCAAGCAGCTGCCTATATGACCAGCTCCAATAAAAACCCTGTAGCCCTCCTAGGTCGCTAATGGGTGCCCAGGTGGACAACATGTGACTCCTGTTGTCACAATTCAGTGCTGGGGGTATCAAGTGCCTCCCATGGACCCTACCTGAAAAGGACATTGCCAGCTGCACCTGGCCTCCCAGACACTGCCCTGTGTGTCTGCCCTTTGTAGAGTCTGCTCTGCGTCCTTTTCTCTGCACTAAATGACAACTGTGCACAGAGTCCTGTGAGGCTACCTGGGGTGGCCATGGAGACTCCAGCACAGCAGAGACACGAGCATGGAAAGAATGGAGACAAACAAGCCCAGCCTGGCACAGGGGGGCCTGCCTGGTGCCGGGCGGGTTGATCAGCCTTGTGGAGAAACCAGAGCCTCCCAGTCTAGGAGGGTCGGAGCAGCAGCTGTTTACTAACCAGGACCTGTAACAATGATATGGATACCTTATACTCTGCACAGAGTCCTAGGGCAGCAAGTCTCAGAGAAACAAGGTTGTATGCACGAGAGAAATCAGGTGGAGAGCTGAGGAAACTTAGGCAGCAGCCAGAGGGCCACCAGCCTGCAGACCTCGAGGAATGGTGACAGCGGAAAGCACACTGAGAGGAGACAAAGGCAGTGGATCCGTGAGAAATAAGGCAGAATCTAGACAAAGTTGGGTTGCAGGCCCCGGAAATGAGGCTGCCTTTCAGACTGCATGGTGCACGCCAAGGGTCTGGATCTGGGGGCCTGGGCCAGGTGGGGTTTGGGTGCAGGATTGTGCCCTCCCCCCACACTCACATTCCAGCTCCTTCCGTAGCTGCTCCAGCCCCTGCTGCAGCTGCTCCAGGTAGAGTGGCAGGTGGTGGGTCAGCACCTGCCGGACCTGGCTTTGGCCCCACAGGGTGGCCACCACCCAGCCGCTCGCCCGTACGGTCCCCAGACCCGCCTGGGACAGCTGTAGGAGGAGGCCTGCCACGCTGTCCAGGGTGTCTGCCGGCTGCACCTGGGCAGGGAACCGAGTGTGAGTCCAGGACACAGAACAGTCCAGACTCTCATGCCTGGGTGGGATGACTGGTAAGCAGGGGCACAGGCCCCACCAGACAGATCTCCATGATGAGTGTTCCACCCTCCTTGCTCCCGTTCCCCAACACGATCTACCCACCAGTTGCCGGAACCTTCTCACATAGGCGTCCAAGCCTAGAATCTTCTCCTCCAGCTGGGCTTGTACCTGGGATGCAATCCTGGACTATAGGGATAGAGGAATTGGCTGGGGGCTCCCTCAGGGCCCCAGAGGAATGAATTACCTAGAAAGTGCTCAGTGCCAGCAACAGGGCCTATGGTGGTGTGGGCCACACCATGGGCTATCTCCTCTGTGCACTGAGGGACCCAAAGGGCTCAGGGCTCTTGGCACTGTAGCTTCCCATCTCCAGCTGTCTCATCTGCACGTGGCCCAGCAGGATCCTCTGACAGCCATGTGCAGTCAGGAGGAGGTTCTGGTTGGCAGCTTGTAGGGTCAGGCGTCCCAGAGGCTGCACAGTCTGGCTACCATCCTGAAACAGGGCCTCCACCTCGGCCGTCTGCCTGTGGACACATACGCGCAGCAGCACGCTCTCTTCTCCAATCCCTGGGGATGAGAAGAGACCTGCTGTCACACACACCACTTCTCCCTCTGCCCCCCCCCATTCCTTTTCCACCCCACAGCCTGCTGTAGCTCATCATTGCCCCAGGAAAAGCTTCAAGGCCCTGAATAAACCTTCTGAGCTACATGAAAATCCCCAACCCCAGACCTTCCTCTGGCCAGCCAGCCTCCCCTGGCCCAGCCTCACTTGACATGGCTCAGTCAGGTGGAGATGGCAAGAGGCCTGGCAGAGTTTATTCTGATTTCTGAGCTCCCAACACCCCAGCCCCTGTTCTTTTTCAGGCCAACCTGAGCCCTGCCCTAGCTAGTAGAGCTAAGACCCAGCTACCACTCACCCTCCTCATGGGCCACAGAGGCCTGAAGACAGCTTGGGTCTCGAGACATGGACAGCCTCACTTTCTCATCCCTGTTGTCCACGCTTCCCTCTAGCTGGACCAGGCTTTGAGAAGCTGAGGTGGAGATGCGGCCCAGCAGGCCAACCCACTGACCCTTGGGGCTGTGGAGCTGGGATGGGGAGGGCAGAGGCCTGAGTTGGCCCCCCCACCCCAACCACAGGGCTGAGTTCCTACCTATCACAGAAAGTAAATTGAAAACACCCAGTTAGGAGCCCACCAACCCAGCCGCACCTGCCATCAGAGTGTCCCCAGCCCAGATACTGTGATCTAACTGGTCTGGGGGAGCCCTGGACACGGGCACTTTTGACATTCCCATGCCCAGGTGTCTCTACTTGCAGCTCAGCTTTTCATGTTTACATGAAAAGTTTACAAGTTTACAAGTTTACATGAGAACCACTGCAAAGGACTAGTGAGGTCATGGGTAAGCCTGGCATAAAGACCCTGGCACCACCCAGTTTATCCAAATTCTTGCAGGCACCTAGCCTTAAAGGAGGGTGAGTTTTAACTAGGGTGGGAGTTACACAAGGACAGGTGAGTTTTAACTAGGGTGGGAGTCGAGTCAGGAAAGGTCATGGAGACCCTGCAGGGAAGAGACCAAGGGGTAAACCAGAAGCAGTGGTGGAGAGGGGAGTCCTCTGTGTCCCAGACCGAGCTACCCTATATTCCAAATTTTTTTAAACTTTTTTTTATTTGAGACAAAGTCTTACTTTGTTGCCCTCGGTGGAGTGCTGTGGCATCATAGATCACAGCAATCTCAGACTCTTGGGTTCAAGCAACTCTCTTACCTCAGCCTTCCAAGTAGCTGGGACTATAGCTATTTTTTTGTTTAGCTGGCCTGGTCTGGGTTTGAAACCACCAGCCTCCGTGTATGTGGCTGGTGCCATAACCACTATGTTACAGGTGCTGAGCCTGCCCTATATTCTAGACACTGCAACTAACAATGCTGTGCAATCTTGAATAAGTGTGCCACCCTCTCTGGGCCTCAGTTCAAAATCTGTAAAATGATATAGAACAGTGGTTCTCTAAATTCAGCTGAAATCAGAATTACTATATACGTGTGAGATGAGTTGAATTATGTTCCTCAAAAAGATATGTTCTCGTACCTGTGATCATGACCTTATTTGGAAGTAGATTTTTTGTAGATATTATCAAGTTAAAACAAGATCCTACTGGGTTATGGTAGGCTGTAAATCCAATGAATGCCATCGCTGTAGAAGGCCATGTGAAGACACAGATGCACACATGCTTGGAAGGATGAAGGCCAGTAAAGACAGGGGCAAAGCCACAGCCAAAGGTTGCCAACAGCCAGCAGAAGCTACAAGTAGCAGGGAAGGATTCTTCCCTACAACTTTCAGAGGAAGCACAACCTTGCAGATTACTTGACTTTGGATTTCTGGCCTCTTGAACTGTTAGATAATATATTTCTTTGTTAAGCCTCCCAGTTGGTTATTTGTTAAGAACAGTCCCAGGAACCTAATGCAGGGTACTTGCTAAATATGCAGGGTCCTTCCCTAGAGATTTCCAAGCTGGTGTGTGTGTGTGCAGCTGTAGCCCAGGAATCCTTGTGAGATTTAACAGTATATATGAGGTGATCCTGCTGGGAGGGTGGGGGATAGGGGGTGTTCTACAGACCATGCATGAAATCTGCCCCTGATGGGCTTCCAGCATCTGGGCTCAGCCCCACTAGCTATCACTTCCAGCCAGAGCCCTGCTCTCCATGCAACTTGGGAGAGTGCCTGACCTCCTTGAATCTGTCCTTCCTCTGCACTGGGGCCATGGGGGTTGGTGTGAGGGCCAAACAAGGCTGAGAAAGGCTCTGTCCACTTCACAGACCCAAGAATGGGATAAGACAGAAGTACCAGCTATCCTGAAGCACTTGAAGACAGTGAAATACAAAGACTGACAACATGCTAAGTATCCCACATGGGCCTGATTGTGTGGGCCTCACTCTCAAGTTTCCTATTCCAAAGAGGGAGAGGCCTTGGGCACTGGGCTTACAGATCCTGGGGGCCTGACTGGCAAGTGGGGAAATGGCAGTTATTCCTAGAGAATAAAGACCTTGGAAAGAAAAGCTTATTTGAAATGGCCATGACTGCTGGGCTGAGTGAACTTCCAACCCAGAAACTCCATCATTGTCCAGCTATGAATGCCATGAGGAAGGACATGCCCCTCTCGTGAACACCTGCTATGTGCAGATGCTGTATAAACATTGTCTGTGTTCCTCTGTGCTCTGCAAGGGAGGAAGGATTTGTTTCCATTTGCCAGCAGGGAAGATTGAGGCTCAGAGAAGGAAAGTCACAAGGTCATGGTCACCCAGGACAGGGCAGGTGGATGGCAGCATGGATCCAGCACCTACTGCATGCCTTGGCTGTGCAGGCAGAGGGGAGTGATGCCCAGACCCCCATGGACCAAATACCAGATCCCCTCATATAGCCAAGGAAACGGAGACTTAGAGAGATTCCTTAAGATCGCGTGGCCAGGCAGGGACAGAGCAGGCATTTGGAGCTGACTCTTCCCCTTCCTACTTCTCTGAGCTGCCAGGAGTAGGGACAGAGAAGGCTTGGCCACGAACAGCTGAAAATAATAGCAAATACTTACGTAGTGGCTGTTTTCCATCAGGCACTGCATTAAGTGACCTACACATACATAATCCTGCAGGAGGTGGGGCAGGTTATTATTATTATCCGTTTTACAGGGAAGGAAACAGAATCCAAGAGGCAAGGCAGTTTGTCAGCTAGGAAGAGGCTGGCAAGGACTCACACTGGGTAGTCCAGCTGCTGCCTGTCGGTTACAGAAAGGGCTGGATGGCAGGTAGGTGCTGGGGCCAGGTCTGGGGGGTCACCCTACTGCCCCCATCCAGAGCAGAACTTTGGCCCCCATCAGGGTGCCGACCTGCAGTTCTGAGGATAGCCAGTAGATGGCGAGGCTGCCCAGGCAGTGGGGGCCTGCTGGCCAGAGAAGACGTGGAGGGGATATCGTGGCTTATCCTGGCATCTTCCCCTGGGGTGGTCAGCCTTGTCCTAGCCACCCACCTCCAGCTCCCCGGAGAAGTCAGCTGAATGGGGCCTGCTGTGGTTTCGAAGGGTCAGGCTGAGGTGTAGGCCGTGGTCCGTGTCGGGGGCGAGGCCCAGCTGGCAGCAGGACTGCAGCAAGAGCCCTCCCTGGCCCACAGTGTGCTCCCCGGAGAGCAAGAGGGCCTGGACAAGAGTGTGAGTGTCAAAGGTCAGGGAGGTGCAGGGGCAGCCTCCTCACTACCATCTCTCACACCAAGCGACAGTAACCCCAGCCCACAGCCTCTAGCCCCTCCTCCACCGGGCAGCAGACTGACCTCTAAGAAGTATAAGTCCACCAGTACCCTCTGCTTTCCCTTCCCACTTAGAAGAGAAGCCAGCGACCTTGGCCTATGGACTATGTTGCTTACTCTGTAAGGACCACCCTGTGTCCCTCAAACACCCTGAGCATGGTCCTGTCGCAGGGCCTTTGCATGGCTGCTCCCACTGCAGGACCCACAAGCTCAGCAATGAGGCCCCCTGCACTGCCCGGCACCCTCTGCCTGCTTCATGCCTGCTCAGAGTTCTCCACACACTGACACAGACCACGCAGCCCTTGCCTGTTAACCTGCAATCCAGGAGGCAGCACCTGGTGTGTCCTTTTCACTATCCAGGTCCCTGCACCTGGGACAGGACCTGGTGTATGTAAAACACACAAGTGTTTTCTGAAGGGAGAGATGAAGAGATAAAGGTTGGTGAGCTGGCTGTGGGCCCTGTCTGGCTCAGTGCCAGTCCCTGCATGTACAGTTTGAGTGAAGTACGGCCACATAGGCTCACTTGCATGTTGTCTATAGCACACCCACAAGGCAGTGGCAGTCTGTAGTTATAACAGACCATGGTCCATAAAGCCCAAGATATTAATATTTACTATCTGCCCCTTCACAGAACAGCTTGTGAGCCCTGGGAGAAGGAAAGGGTGTATGGATGGATGGATGGATGGATGGATGGATGGGTTGGGTCGGTGCATGCACAGAAGAACCAGCCAACTGATTCACAAACCCAGGAGGAAAGGGATCCCACCTCTGCACCCGGAATGATGACAGTCACAGCAACTCTCATTTATGTGGGGGCACTGCGCCCAGCACCCCTGTGTCCCATCTCTCTTGAATCTCACATGCACCCTACACCCTGGCATCTGCTGCTCCTTCCATTCTTCAAATGACACACTTAGCGGGGAGATGTGCTTCATCCAGTCACCCAGCCATCTAGTGTCAGAGCACCATGCTGGCGCCCAGCTGCCTCGCTTGTGCCCCTGCACTCTGCAGGTGCCATCCTCCCCCACCCCATCACCGTGGGCACCTGGTTGTCCAGCTGTCCCTTTCCCAAGGCAGACTCACCCTGGGCAGGCCACAGAGCCCCAGGTGGAGGGTGTGGTATAGCCACTGTGTGTAGTCCGTCTGCACCTCCCCCTGAAAGCTCTGCGTGGCACAGGAGGCCACAAGGACATGCTCCAGCGTGGCCTCCACCAGGATCTTGTCTGTCTGGGAGGGCTGATGCCTCTAGAATGACAGGGCCCAGTGAGCCCAGGGTTTATCACATAAGTGAGGCCCACAGCCAGCCACAGGCTGAGGCTTTCCCCTAGATAAGAGCAGGTGCCAGAAATCCCACCACTGGCATGTTGGCAACTAGGCCAGCCCCTTACACTTTGGGGCAGGATTTCTGTTGTGAACACTTAGGGGACCCAAGACACAGGTGAGAGGCCCTGAAGGAGGAATAAGCTTTTAGGGCCAGATGTCCCCGTGTCTCCATGGCTGGGTCCTGCCCTGGGCTCTGCAGCGTAGTACACAGCCTTCTCAGCAGTCTGGGTAGACTCAGCCCCTGATGCCTCTGGGAACTTCAGCTCCTGACCTCTCCCTCCTGAGAGCTCACCAGTGTCACTGACTCCTTCCTCTGTTCGCAGCATCTCATGCTGGGTACCTTGCTTCCCTTATCTCTCACAGCCCTTGCTACATGCCAGTCAGGAGAGGATTCCTGTGCCCATTTTACAGATGCAGAAACCAAGGCTCACAGTAGAGAAATGAGTGGCCCAGGATCCCACAGCATGGCTAGCCCTTGAACCTAGGACCTCAGGGCCCCAAAGCTGGGTATTTTCTGCAGTAGGTGGGGCCTCCTTGGGGTTCCCTGCCCAGGACATAGCTCCCCAGGCCTCACCTCATAGGTCAGGTTCTGTTGTACATGGTATTGGTCCCAGGACACATCCAGCCACTCACGAAACATGGCTGGAGTCTGTGTTAAGGCCCCACAGGCCTGGAGGCTGCCCAGGTCCCAGGTGTCCCGAAGCTGATAGGAGATAGAGTGGGATAGGTGGCCAAGGGGACCATAGAGTGGCCTTGAGCATGGGAGGGCTCTGGGCCAGCCAGTGTGTACCTGCCCTGGGGAGGCAGCCAGGCAGCTGTCCCAGATGGTGCTGTGCACAGAGGACCTGTCAGCCCAGGTGAGCTGCAGGGTCACAGGTTGTCCCCTGTTCCAGGCAAGCTGCACCTGTGTGGCGATGGGGCAGAGAGATGGGGGAAGGG